CAGGTCCCCATCTAGTGATTATCATCATTATTATTAATAATAAAAGCTGACACCCTCGGCTTGTGTTATATGGTTTGCCATTTTAGCTGTTACAACAGCGGCTCTCAACCTGTGGGTCGCTGTGTGATCTCTCCTGTGCTAGGTGAGAGTCCTCTCCTAGCGCAGCAGCGTCAGTTCTCCCGCCATGCCGCCAGATGTCGCTGCAGCAGCCGCGTCAACCATAAATTTTACCGTTGGGGGTCACCACAACTTGGCAAAATGTTACCAAGGGGTCCCGGCCCTAGAAAGGTTGAGAACCACTGGTCTATAGGGACTCGAATGTAAACAAACATGTGACCATTTACATCAGATTACCCCTCATCCAACACGTTCAGATCCAGCAAAACGGAATTCTAATCCGTTTGTTTTTCCAGACCTGGCCAGAGCCAGGGGTAACTGGATGTAAATGAGCTCCTGTCCGTTTATATCCAGCTGTCCATAAACTAACATTGCGCTTCTGATCAGGTCCCCCTGAAAAACTGATATGAAAGCCAGTATGAAAGAGCTATTACAGGTGCAGACTCTGCTTATGGTTTATTAGTGCTGTATAATTGATTTGCCTTCCTGTTACAGTAGTGCTGTATAATGACAGTGTCTTCCTGTTCCTCCCCCTTAGTAGAAGACTTGCAGACAAGTCCTTCTAATTGCTAACAGGGTTTTCTTTCCACTTTTGTTAATGAAGATGGAGACAATTACACAACATCACTAGCTGGGATTTGGGGGAAATGGAGGCTCGGACTGGCTCCTTTGGCCTTAATACAAAAAATTGGCACTTTTGCTTCACAAAGCAGTAACTTCGTGGCAATGACCATCCAGTCTCTATAGGACCATGCTTCAGGACATAGGCTATGACATATGTCTAGATGCTCTTTTTTGTAATGGAAGCAGCATAAGGAACATGTGGATTTTATGCATTTTGGGGCCTGTTTTAAGCAGAAAAAAATGAGCTTACTACATTTAGCACAGCTGCAGAGTTTCATGGACAGTATAAGAGGTTCACTGTCTGATTTTACCTGACGGGTGGAATTATTCTTAGGTGGTTCAATACTTTCCTTATGCTCTATAATAGTATATAAAGGCATGCATTTCCTTTATTATTACCTATAGGTGTAGGATTGATTGTGGTAGATGTGTAACTTAGATTGTGTTGTGAAATTAACATTCATGTATAAAGGTTGTAGCTGTCACACCAGATTTCAAAGAGGAGGTTTCAAATCAGTAAACAGTATAGTCCAAACCCAATCCAAGTTTAAACATTCATCATTTGTATTTAACTTTGTGATGAGAGATGGTCTTTGATTCATAACCTTTCTATTGTGTACTCTTCTGTATATACTATTTAATACAACTAGTTGTATTAAAAATATATATATACAATATATATATATATATTTGAGGTTTATTTTAACAAA